CCAAAATGGGGATCCCCACGGTGCAAAGCCGTGCAAAAGCCCCCATGCCCTTTGGGAGGCGGGAGATGCTATCTGCTTTTTCGGGGTGCTTCGGCACAGTGCGGCAGTGCCCCGCCCCGACACCGCTCCATCCCGCAGGGGTCCCGTCAGGCAGCCCCACCTGCGCGGCAGCGGCCACCAAGGGTGACGAGTACGTGATGCTGCAGTGCCGGTGGGAGGGGGGCACGCCACCCGTCACCCTGCACTGGCGGGACGGTGGGGGCCGGTCCTTGGGGGATCCCACACCCTCCACTGCCGTCCTGGTGCTGAGCACCGAGGGCAGCCTGGGGGGCCGGGAGTTCGTCTGCGCTGCCGCCCACCCGCTGCGGGGCCCCGCCGAGTGCCGCCTGCGCCTGGGTAAGCCCGACCCGCCCCCGGTGCTCCCACCGCGCCACCGAGCCGTGTTGGGGCGGCACGTCCCTGCCCGCACTGTCCCCCCTTCTCGCCGAGCAGAGGTCCCCGATCTGGAGGCGGCGAGCGAGGTGGCGGTGCTGGAGGGCGGCGAGGCGCTGCTGACCTGCCGGCAGCGCGGCACCAGCGCCAGGCTCAGCGCCACCGTGGCTTGGTACGACCCCAAGGAGCGGGAGGTGACGCCGGGGCTGGCCAAGTACCGGCTGGAGCAGGGAGAAACGTGGCTCAACCTCACTGTCCTGGACGCCGAGTGGCCGGGGGACGGCGGGATCTACCGCTGCGCCGCGACCAACGCCGTGGGCACCGCCAGCCTCCCCGTCCGCCTCCGCGTGGACCGTGAGTCCTGGCAGGGCTAGGGGGTGGGTCCCCCAAGGTGGGCTGGGGGCGTCCACCCCCTCCTGCCGGGTGCCATCTCTCCGCAGGGTACCCGGCCCCCCCCAACGTCACCATCAGCAAGCTGCGCTACACGCGGGCGCGCACCGAGGTGCAGCTGGAGTGGCGCACTCAGGGCACCGGCAACCTCACCGGCTTCGTGGTGCAGCGGCGTCAAACCAAGAAACCCCTCCGAGAGGCGCCCAGCCCCTGGGAAACGGCCGCTGGCAACATCGAGCCCCACTCCCGCGACCGGCGCCTGGGGGGGCTGGACCCCGCGGTGCTCTATGCGTTCCGCGTCCTGGCCGTCAACCACCGCACGGCCGGGCACCCCTCCGAGGTGCAGACGCCAGGTGAAGTGGGCAGGGGCTGCTGTTCCATGGGGGCAGAGCAGGGTTTGAGTGGAGAAGGGCAACGTTTCCATCCCGGTGGAGCTGAGTGCGAGCAGCCGTCAGTAGGTTTTCAGAGTAAACAGGCACAGGCTCTCACGGTCCCTGGCGTTTCTGGGCTCTGCCCGTCCCTGCTGCCTGCCATACTCCCTCTGCTCTCTTCCAGCTGAGCCTCCCTTCGAGGCCTACCCGGCGGTGACGGGGGCGGCGGTGGCCGGGATGCTGGTGGCCACCGCAGCGTCGCTCCTGGCCGTGCGCTGCATCGCCCGCCACCGGGAGACCCTCCCACGTGAGTGCCAGCCCTGGGGGTCTCGTGGGCTGGAGCCCTGGCCCCCACACCTCACGTTCTTCTGCCTCCCCAGGGCTGCACGACCTGCTCTTCCGCACGTGAGTGCCCAAATCCCTCTGCCCCACTGTTCCCACGCCCTGGCTCCAGAGAGACCCCGCCTGTCCCCCCAGGGCCGGTCCTGGCGCCCAGGAGCCCGTGGACACGCCGGAGGATGCTGAAGCAGCCGCGAGCGGGGAGGGGGAGACAGCACCAGCACCGGGAGATGTGCCTGCCCCGGGAGATGTACCTGCAGCAGGTACCCGCACCCTGGGGTGAGCCGAGGGCTGAGCCACCCGCCCCGGGGACACCTGGTGGCACCGAGGCTCTCCCACCCCTCGCAGAGCCGCTCTCGGCACCGCCGGGCACCACCGATGACCCACCAGCTGATGTCACCATCACCGCGACGGCGACGCCGTGACCATCCGGCTTTTCCCTCTTTATTTCCCTTTCCTCCTCTCGTTCCACACCACGGGACGGCAGCGCCCACCCACCTGTGCCACGTCAGGGGGGGAGGCAGCTGGCTCCGAGTGCCGCACCCGGAGAAAGCCCCTCCGGCTCAGCCTCGGGCCTGCAGTTACCGCTGGAGCTAAAATAAATATTTAGGCTACAATAAATAGTTTCTCACCGATGGCAGCAAAAATCCCTGAGGGCCAAAGTGCCGCCCTCAGGCCCAGGGCTGAGGTTGGACGGGGATGCTGCTCTGGGACTGTGCTGAGTTTTCTGTGGTGCCATGAAGATTTAGGGGGCAGGGAAGGGGCATCATCTTCACCCCAAGCTCCCCATTTTCAGGGCAAACCACAGCAGGATAAAAACAGTGACTGGTGATGGATTTTCCCCACGATGGTGCAAGCATGGGGGGAGGCAGGGTCTAAGGAATGTGTCAGGCACTTCCCAGCCTTCCTCAACCCTCATCATTTGGTGTCTGTGGAAACAAGAGCATGTTGGGCCATTTGTCCTATATTTGGTTAATTATCCATTGGGAAGTATCAAGTGACACCTCAATCAGTGCCCACAGATCATCAATACCCACTCTGGCCATAGAGTAACATCACCCCCAAAAATACACACCCTACCCCAAGCCCCTGCAAAACAGCATTGTTTCCAAACACATAACATTTCCAAGGGATATTACAGATTCTCTGGAAAACAGAGCGTCTTTATCCAACACACCCACGATACAGGGGGGGATTTAAGCAAGGTCGTTTAAAACCGTGGTTAAATCTCAGTGTTTGGGGTGAAACGAAGCAGCCAGAGCTAAACCCCAACCTCTCCAGTGGAAAAGGGGAAAGCCTCGCAGCAGGTCTTGTGAAGGGAAAGTCCAGACTGCAAGGAGGAGATAAGCAAAGGGGGAAGAGGGGGCTCTGTGGTGGCTCCGGGATACACGCCAGTCAAAGCCCATGGATGTGAGGTCTGGGGTTTGCAGGGAACTTCAGAATAAGGCAGCTCTGGCTGGGAGGATCCAAAACC